GTCGGCGACAATCGACGTGGAGTATTTCGGAAGATCGTAGTGCCATCCTTGGTCGCATGGCACCACCTTGGCACTACTTGGCGGGGTCACCGTGCCGCCCCCTCCCATCAGACTCAGCGGATCCAGGTTGGAGAGGTGCTGAGTGTAGTTGTAGTCGTACCTCTGGCAGCGGCTGTATTGCTGAGTTGAACTGTCGTACGGTATGCTGGAAGTGACGTAAGGAGGTGTCAGATTTAGCCGGGATTAATATGCGTGTTGTGAGACTGTGACATGTGTTGAGCTGTTAGATTTTAAGCGGATCTGTGACGCCTGAATCGAATAAGTAAGGGACCTTCTTTCACTCTCCTATGTGTTGCATAGTCTCTCTCTGTTTGTTTTTCTCTATCTATCTACGTATCTATCTACGCATCTGTCTATCTACCTATTTATATGTATGTATATGTGTGTGTGTGTGTGTGTGTATGTGCATGTGTGTGTGTGTGTGTGTTTGTGTGTGTGTGTGTGTGTGTGTGTGTGTGTGTGTGTGTGTGTGTGTGTGTGTGTGTGTGTGTGTGTGTGTGTGTGTGTGTGTGTGTGTATACGAGTAAATGCGTAACATTTGTGTATGTAATGTTAGTGTAGCATTGGCATATTGAAATAGCAACTAGCATCAATAATAATCTTAATAGCAGATTAGATTAATAGATTAATAAATGGTAGATAAAGTGTGTGTGGAATATACCCCATTGCCATCAACTGAAGCATAATAATCTTAACTGCACAATCCAAACAGAAAACGAAGTGTAAGTCCCTTGTGCCTTGGATAAATATATCAAGCGACCGCCCACATATCCAAGGCTACCTCGCAGTCAGACTGAGGGGAAGGGGAAGGGGTGGGAGAAGAGGGGAAGGATGGGGACATGGAAACCCCAAGGGAAACAGTACATTCCCTCCCATATTCACCAGAGAGACAAACCCTCTTGACACGCATACATACAGAGACGCTGAAACAAATGCGCACACAATCACACTCGTATACGTAAATGCTTAAGAGGACACATGCACAAATTCACAAACAGAAAGTGAGAGAGGGAGAGAGAGAGAGAGAGAGAGAGAGAGAGAGAGAGAGAGAGAGAGAGAGAGAGAGAGAAGAGAGAGAGAGAGAGAGAGAATGGGGTAGGGGGCAGAGACAGAGAGAGAGAGGGGGAGGGGCAGAGAAAGAGAAGAGTAATTCTTACCTGAGATTCTTCGTCACCTCTGTCGTAAAGTTGAGGTCGTCCAGCTTCTGCAGGCGGCACCAGTGTTCGGGCGTGGAAGCCATGAAGAGCTGGTTGTAGGCGTGGAAGCCGCACGGCATCGTACCCGGCAGGAGGAGGAACCACAGGATCAGCTTCTGGTAAGTCCCGTACTCGCCGATGTCAGGAAGGATCTCGTCGAAATCCATCGTCGTTGTGGGATGAATGAGGATGAGGAGAAAAGAGGATTGTCGACTCCCTTGGAACTAGCGGATGTTTACGTTAATGATGTACGTTAATGACGAAGGCGGTCGGTTGTTTCGTGTGTGTGGGAGATGCGTCAATTACCGATCAATGTTATCATCACTCTGTTTACCTGATTTTCCCTCTCTTGCCTCTTTTCCAACTTTACTGATCCTGTAAATAAAAGAGGAGGGGAAGGAATGTCCTGAAATTATAAAAGTTGAAATTAAACTCGATTTGCATAACAAACAACTCCCAGTCTTCCATTTTCTTAAACCGGTACGATCTTGTCAACGAGAGATTTCGCTTCACCGAGCTTTGAGTTCTGTAGTTCGCCGGTTCTTTGATGGTTGTTCGAACCCCATGTCGTATGGGAAAGACACAGCGAGACGTGGGGTCGAGACGTGGGGTCGAGACGCGCGTAATGGAATGTGTGCAGTATATCTGTTATTCCAGAATTAATGAATACGTCGGTATGTATAGCGCTGTGTTGGTGGCTGGATGACAGGAGGGGTCCATTATACATCTCTTTCCCCGCAAGCATGTTTGTTTATGGGACGATTCTTTTATTGGTCCTTTTTCCTAAAATGTGTCTTCAGTTATATTTATGTGCCGTGTTGTAATTTGATTGGTTGTATGTTTGTGATTTTTAGAACATGTAGTTTAGTTGGATGTATGTTTATATTTTTTCTAATATATATTTTAAGTAGAATGTATGTTCATAGTTGTTTGCTTGTTTCTATTAAAAACATCCTCACTTCCATGTATGCGTATTTTGTATTTCAGTGTTTTTTTTCCTGAAATACACATTTTCGAAATTCCCTTTTAAAAACGGTAGGTAAACAAATGCTACAATACTACAATACTACAAAAAGTCTTCATTGTTATTGTTGCTGTTATCATTATTATCATTATTTTGTATATTATTATTATCATTATCATCATTTTTAATACCATCATCATTATTTCATCATTACTATTATCATTGTTGTTGCTGTTATTCTCATTACTGGTATTATTATTATTATTATTATTAGCATTAT